TTCACCCACCTTGGAAGGATGGAAGGCTGAGTCAACCTTGAGCCGGTGAGATTTGAACTGCCGACCTGCAGATAGCAGTTGCTGAAGTGGCCTGCAGTACTGCACTCTAACCACGGAGCCACCTCGGCTCTTCCTTCCTCCTTTCCTGTCCCTTCTTGCATGCTCAAATGCAAAAGGGGAAACATTTCTCCTTTTGTTTTGCTTTTAATTTGCTTTGATCGTCCTCTGCCAGAGAAAACGGAGCTCAGGGGGCCTACATGCTCCATTTACACTGTCAGAGGCACAGCGGGATGGTCCTTTGCTGTTTCCAGGCCAGCTCCACGGGCCAGGTCTAAGCATCCTGCGGGCCGGATATGGCCCGCGGGCCTTGAGTTTGACACCCCTGGTTTATTTAATCAACTGGCTTGCATTATGAGGATCCTTACATTGGGCAAGAGGTTGGACTAGAAGCCCTCCAGGTTCCTTCCAGCCCTAAGATGCTATGATTTAGCAACATCACATGTTGAGGCCAGTGCCTAGTCACCATCTTTCTCCCTTCAGATTTCTCAGGCGCGGGTCTGATCTGTGTGACTTTGCCTAGTTAACACAACCGAATGTGTTTACTTAATCTGCATAATACATTAAGCATTATACTCACACAGGCACCTCCAGCTAAAGCTAAAATTAATGGGAGAGCTTAGCATGTTGTAGAAATGCAGCTGTCAAATCGTTAACGCAGCTTGAACGGACAACTGTGTGAACCAAGTTATGCTTTTTTCCTCTCTCTCTCTCCCTCTCTTTGCAAACAGATTCACCCTCCATCCGCAGCATTGCAGATCCAACCTACGTGGACCTGGGAGACGCCGCCGAAATTGTGTGCCAGGCTGATGCCAACCCTCTACCAAATTTCCAGTGGAGGTGGCTGGTAAAGTTATAGGGTTAAGCCAGGAGAAAGCAGGGGAAGGATTGGCACTGATTCTGTATGCCAACTCTATAGCGGTGAGCCAGCAGGAGAACGTTTCTTACTCCAATTAAAACGGATGCGAATGTGGCCATGCCAAGCGAGATGACCTTTTTTTTTCCAGCCTCCTTTACAACTTGATGGCTAATAATGGTTCTTTAATGGCCGCTGACAACTAAAAAAAAATACTTCCTTTAAATGCTTTGGTAATGTAGCTCCTAACAATCAGACATATTGCACGGACTAGGGTGAGCCAGACATAAAAGACTAAGAATGAGCTTTGCGTTTAACGGGCTGGCAGGAATCTTGCATTACTCCAAGATTATGAGGCTGTTTTGCAGGAGCGGATTGCTTCTTTAGAGACTGGCATTATGTGGTTGGTGGTTTTGCTCCACTTTACTCAATACATAAAGGTAAATAAGAGTTGGGGATTATTATTATTTTTGCAGCCCAAAAGGTTCTTGGATAATCTTCCAGGAGGGCTATGTGCCAGTAGTAAATGGTGCCAAAGACAAGCGTAGGAAAATAAAAGGAAAGCCACACACATCTACAGGCAGATGTAAGATGTGCTCGGTGTAGAAGAAGCCAGGGGGCTGGACCGAGGGACGGGGGTGGGTGGATGTGTGGGCAATCTGCAATAAAGAGAGTTCTTAATTACAGGTGATCCTCGGTTTACAATCATTTACATACAATAAGAACCATGGTGACGCAGTGGTTAAAATGCAGTATTGCAGGCTAATTCTGCTGACTGCCAGCAGTTCGATTCTCACTGGCTCAAGATTTGACTCGGCCTTCCACCCTTCTCTAAGCGGTTTACAGAGTCAGCCTCTTGCCCCCAACAATCCGGGTCCTCACTTTACCGGCCTCAGAAAGATGGAAGGCTGAGTCGACCTTGAGCCCAGTGAGATTCCAACTGCCAAATTGCAGGCAGCAGAAATAGCCTGCAGTACTGCATTCTAACCACTGCACCACCACAGCTCGATGGGAAAGGGTCTCCAGCTGCTGGTTGTATGGCTTAATAATACAATCTTCCTGTTATTCTGGCCTCTTATGTAGGGCGATTTGGAGCGCAGCCTGGAAGATTTGGGTTTTAAACTATTGTCTGAAGGGTTGTTGGCCACCCTGCAGATCCAGGCAGCCCAACGAACACATGCTGGAGTTTATGAGTGTCAAGTAGATAATGGCATCTCCCCAGCAGCCAAAAGCAGTGCTCGTCTGATTGTGCGATGTAAGTATTGACGCTAGTCAACCTCTAATATGTCCTAGACTTGAAGACTCCTTTAAAATCCAACATTTTACTTGTCATAATTGCTTGTCGCCCACCCCTGGTGTGTTTCTCTGAGCCCCTCGATGTCATCCCTTCCTTTGCTTTTCTTCTCAGCCAGCAGCTTACACATGCAACACAAGTTTAACCCAAGAGTGGGTTGCTACAGGTTCGCCCGGGTTCGGCAGAACCCATAGCTAAAGTTATGACTAGTTCAGAGAACCTGCAAATCCCAGCCCTGGCTGGCCTCGCCCAGCCTCTGCAGCCCTTCCCACTCCCTCCTCCCCTCCCAGGAGTCCCCACGCGGCCCATTTTGGATGTGAGGTAAGTGCAGGGCCCACGCAGATTCTCAGAGAGGGAGAAAAAATGGACCTTCTGGAAGTTCCAGAAGGTTGGAAACAGGCCCATTTCTAGCCTCCAGAAGACCTCCGGAGTCCAGAGGAAGTAGTTTTTGCCCTATATTACAGAAGTGAGAATATCTCCTCACATTTTGTAAATATTTAAGTATATCTTGCCAGCAGTTTAGACATTAATGGCTGTATGCTCCGTTATTTTGAGGGGATAGCACACTTATATAGTGATATACACTATATACTCACTACTTTGCATTGTGGCAAAGGCTCATTTCTTCAGTGTTGTCACATGAAAAGATATGCTTAAATATTTACAAAATGTGAGGGGGTGTACTCACTTCTGTGACGTGCTGATGGGGAGGGTGAAAAATGCCCCCCCTCCCTCCCGCTTTGGTGCAGGAGGCCGACGAGGCCCCGCCCACCATGGCACCGCCCACCCAGCAACCAGGCAGAGAACCCATTGCTGATATTTTGGAAGCCCACCCCTGCTTTAACCACACATCTCCCTTTCACTCTAGATCCGCCAGAAATCATCAAGGGCCCCGGGCAGAGGAAAGTGGCAGCTTCCGGTGATGGAAGAAGCCAAGCTGCACTTCAGTGCAGTGCTCAGGGGGTGCCCAGTGTGCTCTTCAGCTGGGCCAAGAATGGGGTCTCCCTCGATCTCCAAAGTCCCAGGTGAGATTCCCCATCAGGCGGTGAAGTAGTAATAATAATGAAGAGTTGACTTTGACTTTGGATGACTGCACTGACACAATCATACAGGTGGCTCGTGAACACAACGGGGATCGGAATTTCCATTGCTAAGCAAGGGCGTTGTTAAGTGAGACACACCCAATTTTACAATATATTTTTGCCATGGTTGTTAAGTGAATGGCGGCACTTGCAAAGTGAATCATGCAATGAATGAATCTGGCTCTCCCTGATGCTTTGCTTGTCGGAAGCTGGTTGGGTAGGTCGCAACCGGCAATTCCATTAACCCAGGACAATTCAACTATCGCAGATCCGTCTGAATTTTGATCATGGGACCAAGGGGATATAGCGAGGGTTGTAAGTATGAGGACCGGTTGCAGGCCAATCATTTTTCAGTTGCCTCATAGCTTTGAATGGTTTCTAAATAAATTATTATGTCAAAAATTACCTCTACGTAAATGGTTCTCCCAGTTCAGGCATGGTGCTCGGCTTTTCCACCAAGTCAAGCGTGACTCTGAGCCGAAACAACATTGCCCAAGTGCTACATGCCTGTTGAGCGTTCTAAGAGCCACAGTGGCGCAGTGGTCAGAGTGCAGTACTGCAGGCTACTTCTGCTGACTGCCAGCTGCCTGCAATTTAGCAGTTCGAATCTCACCAGGCTCAAAGTTGACTCAGCCTTCCATCCTTTTGGGATGGGTAAAATGAGGAGCCAGATTGTTGGGGGCAATAGACTGACTCTGTAAACCAATTAGAGAGGGCTGTAAAAGCCAGTTGCGACCCTACCTGAATCGGGAGGCTCTCACAACAGTCACCCGGGCCCTTGTGACCTCTAGGCTGGAATACTGCAATG